GTTATAAGTCTACGATCCAATTATTCGTGTAATATATTGAATATATTATTATTTGACAATTTATTTTAATATATGATAACAGTATTTTATTATCATATTTATTATCTTATTGTTTAATTTATGTGATAAAGTACTTAATTAAATTTATAGGTTTTACATCAAGATGAAGATTTTGATAATGAGAGTGAAATCTTTTATGATTTAATTTAAAATGTTCTTAGTTGTTGGATCATCAAAATGAGACATTAATGACCCGAAAAGACTAATATATATGTGATAGTCTCTATAAGATAAAGATTAGTTGATCTTATTAACTAAATTACATATATAGATGATGCATATGGAGATACGATTACTGAACCGATCCAATTGAAAATTTCTAATAGTTAACATTACTTTAAACTGTCAATAGAGTATTCTCTTATTTTGATAAAATGTAAAAATTTTCTTAGATCTGAGATCATCAGAATCATTGATAACTCATTTATTATATTTTAATTCTGAACACCTATAGTTATAGAACTACAGTTGAAAGAATATTGAGTGTGATTAAATACTTGTATAATTAATGATTGATTAAGACGGAATCTGTCAACTTGGATAATAAGTTTAAACTTTATGTTGTCATTTATTATAATGACTAAATTAAGACATTGGTCATTGTAGTTGAATCAAAGAAAAAAAAAATTTTTTATGTCATTCACTAATCAATTATAATTGACGTGAAACATAAATCATTACCTATTGAGATTTGAAGGTTAAACCATATCCTAGGATTAACCCATAGCAATAATGACGGAAGAAAGTAATACATATTTCTTTAATAAATTCTTGAGAGTAATTGTACATTTTACATTATCTAGTCGTTAAAAAGTTTTGTTATATGTCAATCTTAATTAGTAAATTTATTAACTAATTTGCTACCGGTTTAATATTAAATTTATGGGATCGTACCTTAACGAGTGTTCTGACTTTTGATAAATAAATTAATTATTTTAATTATTTAAGAATTTAATTAGAAAATTTAATTTAATCAAATAAATAAATTTTTTGGTCTAAATAAAATATTATTATATTTTTTATTAGTACCGAGAATGTAATTAATATTTGAAATAAATTAAATTTTTCTATTTTTAAAATAAAAAATTAATATTTATATTTTGATTATTATATTATTAATATAATAATATAATATATATAATTATTATAAAAATTAAGATTATTCTAAAATTTAATTTAAAATTAAATTAATTTATAAAATTATTTTATTAAATAATAATAATTAAAAAAGATAAACATATATATATTTCATATATATATATATATATTAGGTGTGAAAAAAAAGGTGGATGAATCCATAGGGAGAGTCCAAAAGGAACTTCTCCACCCATGTCACCTACATATACGTATATGATAAATATATAGGTGTAGAGGTTTTGAAAAAGTGTGGAGAAGAGAACTAGAAAATTTAGCCGCACACCAAAAAGAGAAATTGAAGAATTTTTCTGTTAAAGTTTTGTGAAAAAATTTTAACAAATCAATTTATTCGCATGGTCCGTGAATGAAAGAGTTGAACAGTAAATATTAATTTCAGTGTGAATACGCATAAAATGTTCGTATTTTCGAATAATTTTAATTTAAGAATTCGCTGTCAAATATATTTTAAATTTAATATTTAACTTACAATATAATTTTTAAGCACAAATAGATCAGATTAAATTATTTTTTATCTTTCGCCGCATATCATGCATATATTCCAATCCAACATTAAATTAAGTAGAATTTAATTAAAGATATATAACATATAT